CAATGCAAGCTTTTTACAAATAATTTCAGCTGGATGTACGTTGGTGGGCGGGTGTTGAGAGTTACTAGGCAGCCGTAAAACTTGATGGGCGGGCCGCCCACCTAAAACCCCTTGTGGAGAACACTGGGAACTTATTATTCATCTTGCTTCGTCAATGTGTATGAAGCACGCAAGAAAAACCAAACCACAAAACTACCAGCAATGTGCCTCACTCTGTAGTGGGTTGGGTAATTATCAAAATGATAAGAAATTACAATAACTTACAATTTGCCCCTTAATGTCTGTACTGAATAAATAGCATGTTCTCTGGTAGTCGTCACATCAAAACTACCGCCTATGTCTCCAATACCTCTGGTGATTGCAAAGCTTGAGGCTCCTTGTGATGTCTGTAATAAAGCAATGGGTTAGCATAAAAATCTAAACACAGGGGTAGGTTTGGGTTAGAATCTAAATACAGGGGTAGGTTAGATTTAGAATCTAAATACAGGGGTAGATTTGAGTTAAAATCTAATTACAGGGGTAGGTTTGAGTTAGAATTTAAATTACAGGGGTAGGTTAGCATTGTTGAGCACTAACTCAATATACAGGCATATCGAGTTGTGTAATGTGTTGATCAACAACAAATGTAATAATTGCTTTCTATATGCAATCCCTATACTCTTGACTATATACTGTACATGCATTATTTCCTGGGTTTTAATTCCACTACCGTAGTTGTCCAAGTATAAACCCCTGCTACAGTATAAGCCACCCCCTCCAAATTTTTATTTTTTGTACGTTATTATAATCGCTACTGAGTAATCAACAATTGTGAAACACAGCATGACCGGATTGCGCAACCATGATCATTTTCTGCTACGCAATGCAGTTGTGTTTAGAATATAATTTCATAACCCCAAAACGTACAGACCAATATTCACGTAAAAATGCAGAGTCGAATGCTGTTCCATTTAGTAAACGCACCCAAGAGAGATTAGTGACCCCGGGGCGTAACGGCCAATCCTCAAGTTATTTTGGATGATGCTAGTCGGTGAAGACACAACGATTTGTTTATGAATAAATCAGCATGAATTATCACTCGGGAGAAGTTTTAACTAGCTTATAAGCCCCCCCCCCCCCATTTTCCCCACCAATTTGCCGTTTCGCAATCTGGCAAATAAAATCTATGTGAATATGTAAAAGAAAAAGAAAAATTTTTGTATCCCTGGCTAAAATTATTATCACCTGCTGACAACACTATGGTATATACTAGGCTTAGGAAAGAGTTAAGAAAGAGTTACTTAAGACCCCCTCACCCCAACTCTAACAATCCAGCTCCCAATGATTTCAATATGCCCATTCAATTAGCTCTAAGTGAAGTAGGGTATATACAATTGAGATGGGAGAGAAGCACAGAGAAGGGGGTGGATTAGAGTAGGATTACAGTTATGGGTGAGGGGGCCCAAAGGAACTCTTATCTATAATAGTCATTTTTGCTATATATAAGTGGTGGCTTTCAGCAGGTGATGCTCAAAATAGGGTAATTAAATGTTTGGGAAAATGATTTGACAGTAGCTAGTATTCTAGTATGAGGAAAGGTATCACAATTATAAGATTCATTAACAAGTTTAATACCACTCACCAAATGAGCACATGCTCTGAGGTAGTGTGCAACACCAAGGTTATCAGCTGACTCGTATCGACTCCCGGCATTGACAACAATTCCAACTTTAGAGATTGGAGAGTTGTTTTCTAATGATGCGACTGTCATTCCATTTGGCAGTTTACTGACCTGTGGGAAGGTAATGAAAATCAATCATTTGTGAACTCGAAGGGTTTTTTGTTTGGATCTACCTTGAAATCTATTCCACACCACCTAGTCATATTATTATAGCAATATTACACTGGCTACCATATAAATGGCTACCAGTAAAACTAAAATAATCTCTCAAAGCAGTCTCAAGTGTAATTTTTCCCAAATTCTTGCTTGATATAGCAGATTGCAGCGAATTTATAATGGTTGATTTCTCCAATTCATACAATCATTGAGTAACCAATTTGGAAATTTATATATTTCCAAACATCATGACGATTGTATTATAATCATAAATGTTTGTGTAGAATTGTTTTGTAAAGTTTAATACAGGGCTCAAAATTCACAAAGTCAAGGGTGGCAATTGTCTTAGACACACCACCTTAATGACAGACATGACTACCTTCAGTACCCTCTTTATGATTTCATTGAATCAATAGCATGTTTTTGAAGCCTTGGCCTCAAATTGGGTGCCCTCAGATACACTGCAATACGAGAGGTGATTACAAAATACACATTTCTAGAAATATTAATGCAAAATAAGTGTGTATACAATGTATGAAACAAATTAGTTTTCGTTCCTTAGAAATACATTTGAGTGATGCAATTTTTTATCGCAAATCATTATACACATGTATCTAAGATGTATACCCTGATCTTAAAAATCTTGCAATTTTATTTAAAAAGTTTATTGACAATAGTAAATACCTTGACATTTTCTTTACGGAGGTGGACATTTTCTTGATTCTTTTTAGCTGGCCACAGTGCCAAACTTCGTTGCTGTTGAGAACAAAAAATAGCTGATTAAAATGACCATGGGTGTAAATATTTACAAAATATGAACGAAATCGAAGTCGAAAATTCCGACATGAATATTACTTTATTGCGAATATAAATGCATCAATTATGACAATATTGGTGAACGGCATCAGTTCCAGGGAAGGTGCATGGGAGTTATTTATATTTCTCTGTTGATATCAACATATAGAGCCTCGCGAAACATGCCAAATGCTATCAAGCAACATCAGAACTACCAGTAATGTTATTTCACACATCATAATTGGAGTAAGTAAGTAAGTTGAAGTAAGGTCAACATCGTAAAAGTTGGTGTACGTGCATTGCTCTGTTACCGGCGTTTAGCGTTGCAGGACAAACCATTTTATCCTGATCGAACCTTTAAAGATCGGTATCGACAAATAAGTATACTGCAACAATTGTGCATAATTATTAGAAATATTTCACGTTACTTACTGAAATATTGGCAATAACTGGTCGAACTGCCGTGACCTTACCGGACAACATGATTTTTAGACAAAATGGCCGACACGATAATGATATCCCAGCATTCTCTGTGAATGAGCGCCCTCTAGTTAGGTTTGTTTGTGTCTGTGAATGAAACAAAAAATCAACCAGCAGTATTGCGATATAGCTCTCTGTTTTGTTCATAAAGTAACAATACTGATATCAGCTTACCATTACAAACTTTTACATTTGAACTATCAATATCGCTATTTTGTTTGCAAAGCTTCATTGCAATACTGTTAGCATGGGTTGCTTTTTCACTCACAGAAACAGGGAAGATGAATTCCACTTTATTATATCTTGTCTCATCTATGATCAGCAAAGACGAAGAATGAAGAATCTTCAAAATCCGTTCCTGGCTTTATGAATCAAGGCAAGTAAACTAAATTTATTGTGATAATGAACAAAAATAAATAATTACTGAAAAAGCTAAATTTATTGAATGCAACTTTTCAAATCATTATATAGAGGTTGGTTTAAAATAGAATTACTGTCCACATTCATGAAATTACTATATATAATTTGTTCAAATTTTATTGTTGTACGCTGAGCTACAAGGATTTTGGGGTACTTATATTTCTGAGAAAATATTAACAAAGTACAGTACCAGTATACACAACCACTTATATCAAATGTTTTATGAATTATTGATTTGGTTTCTGTGGTACGGATATTTACTTATATTTACATTTTTCTCACAAATTACAAGTTCAGAGTACGAGTTAGTGTCATTTTTGCGTCTTCGTTTATTTGTAATTTTTGAAAGTCATCACATTGAAATATGTAACTCTCATTTGCTCAAACATAAAAATATATTGAAAATCAGAAAGGAGCGTGGGTAGCCAAAGAGTGTCAGCACTACGCTGACAAGTTACTTAAGTTTTAGAAATTGGGTAAAAGCAATAAATTGCAATATTTTTAATAATTTTTTTTTTAAATTCCACATTTCATTTCATAACAATTGTAAATGACAGTCCCTGTTAATAATTCAGTCTGACAATAAAAAAAAAAATCAAGTATTAGAATTGATCATTTTTATGTTACAAATGTTTGCCAGTCACTATTTTGAAAAAATCACATTTCAATGACATGTGATAATGTCATGAATACGCATTTTACAATACAATGGAATAGAATATGGTGTATCCGAGAAATTAGCAATACACACTATTCAAACCAATGATTTTCAGATCGACGATCAGTGTGAATAATTGGTCACTCTAAGGTAAGGGCACAGTAAACAATTACATTCACAAACAGCTTTGAGTTTCCAGTAATTTCCAACTCATTTAGATTATACTCTTCACGCTCTTATGACAAATTATTACACAAAGTCTGGTATAGCTTTGAATAGTTGTTTATTATCAACAGAGTGTAAATAAAATTCAGCATCCGAACTCCCTGATCACTGGATCACCAGACAACTGGGGTTCAAAGTCAATGACTGCACATGTGTACATTTATAAATACACTGACTGTCACCTGGATACAGTGCGTGGCAGAAAACCGTGAACATTATAATCATTTTATAAATACAAATGTATGAAATATTTATAAATTCAAAATTGTTGTTGGAAGTCAAATTGACCTACCGACAATAAAAGTATAAAACATAACGAGTTATTTCATAGTCAATTGGCAAAAACTATAATTTGCATGAATTAGTAGTTGCTGATACGTCGCATATGTGCACGAAGTATGGATTACACAATGTTGAGCTCTGGAGCCAATCTTTATTTGATTTAAATAAAGCTGGGGGTAGGTACATTCGTATAACATTAGGAAATTTGGGTACATGTTTCTACCGTGCACTGTATACGAGTTACAAGTTGTGTTATTAGTAATACTATTTTGGTACTCAATAGATTTCTGCCATCCACATCAAATCATACAAATACTGTAATGGCTCATTAGTAGTACATAGCATAACATTTTCTGACAGTCACCATGAGTGTTCGAACTAGTCGTATCTCACCATCCATTTAACATAATTAACAGCAAACTACTAAATCCCTTAATATTAATTAATATTTATCTAGTAAAATGTATTAAAGTTTGTATATTTTAACGCCATGGGTGCTTGGAAATCTTCAATTACTTAAAAACGTATAGTGTACATATTACACACTATGCACTACCAAAAAACGATTTGCGATGAGCATGAATCGGTTCTTTCAGACTAATTTGCATCAGCATTTCTAGAAATTTAGGTTTCATTTGCAATTATGTGATATTCTGACGATGTGAACGAGATCTTAATCGCATAACACACCCTTGTATTATAAATCCTTATTGCACAATTTTTTTCCATAGTTTATTTTAGTTCATTGGATCGTATAGCCAAGCAATTAATTAAAGCACCAGCAGTTGTGCAGCTCATATTGACGTATATTCGGTGTTCATGGTACCCATGTGCAAAGACTCGTGCATAAAGATTGACAGACTATTCACTACAATATCACCTTTCAATTTCAAGATGCAGAGAATTTAACATGAAATCTATTTTAACTATAGGATATTTTTTTTGTTGCAGATGCATGGATTGTTAATTTAGTTTGTCAATTTGGTAACAATGCACGCACGCATGCAGGTAGTGTTTTACTGTATATCATCACTCATGTAAACCAAACATTGCATTTACTTATGATCATACATAACCCTCTGTCATAGGTGTAAGCAGGCCTTACACTGACATTTTTTGTTATATTTCATTTCCAGTACTATTGTCTTGGCTACCCCATACTAGCAGTTAAAGTACCCCATCCAATACGAGTTCTGTGGGAGCACTCTCATTAGCAATAAGCAGGCCTTACACTGACATTCACATAAGAGCATGCACTACCAATAGAGCAAATAAGATATACAGGAGACCCCCTCCCCAGACTTATTCTATTGTAATCGTTGAATGTGTCGATGCTTGGCCATCTGCAGGTTTAAGTGTATTTTAGGGGCACTTTATAGATGTACAGTAACAATTCAGTGATTTTCTTTGATTTTAATACAACTTCCCTTGTGACCCATTTTGCAAGGTTGAGATGCAGTTGAATTCAAGAATACATGTTGATTCAAAATGTCATAATGACCATTGAAACGCATTGAATGCCGAGTGAATTTTATTTCATACGTTAACATTAGTGGTATTTTCCTCCATGTAACAATTCATGCATACAGTTCTTTACAATCTGTGCTCATAACCCAACCAGTTGTATTCATCCAGTCCAATTCTGTAATGCTCAGTATTTACAACAGAAAAAAAATATAACTGCTTTGTTTGCTTGGCAACCGTTTTGTTGTCATAGCCGATACTCGCAACATATCAAAGCTGTTCGGCCTGCCTCAGGCTTTATTTCTTTCCACCCCACAACCATCCTTTAACAAAGCCAGTGAGTCCACCACCCGCCGCTTTCTTCTGTTCTACCTTGTCTTCTAGTGATGGGAATTCAACATGATTGAATGCAATATCAAAGAACAACGGTTTACATGGGATTGGTTGAAAGTTTGGTGGGAATGTGACTAGATTGGGTTTACGCGTCAGCAGGCTGGGGTCGTCGCGATATTCTTCAAGTCGGTCTATAAGTGGTTTGTTGTTCTGTACACTTAGTTGAGACACGCCTTCTGTCATGTCTTGTGTATCTATAGTAATGTAAAAATAAACGAGTCAGTCAAAGTGAGTGAACTCTACTCGTAACACAAATTGGCAGAAGTGGGAAATGACATCATCCTGTCCCCCATTAAAGGAGAAGACCGGGCAAACAACACAATGCTCCCAGATAAAAGAACTCTACAAATGAAGTCGAATGCAATTTACGTTTTTAATATCACTTTTCATTCTCCTGATATTAAACTTGATAATGTGTTGTCTATCATCTTGATTTTCCAGCAAACGATTATGGGTAAAGTACAACATAATTTGTATGTCAATGCACTAAATGCAACAGGATGCTGAGAGAGCCACAAGATTTGAGGTTTGCCTCTCAATGTTCCATTCTCTTCTTTTATCGTGTCCACATAACCATGGTTACAACATATATCGATATAACAGCGATCAGACTGACGAGAGCAAATAAAAGATTATTTAGAGGGCAAAAACCCGCCTTGTGACTCTCTCTCAACGAATTCTTGGGCGGTCGGTCATTTGCGAATACGGTCAAATGACATGCTCTAAAGATTTCTTTACCTAATATAGCGGATGCATGTATTGAATATTTTAATCCTTTCACTATCCTCGTCAATTCCTCTATTTTAGTCAGCAAATCCTGCAAAAACAGAGAATGAAATGTAGACAGTCACAAAAAATGCCAATGCAGCAACCATAAACGGGATCTCTGGGAAAATCAGTGAAGCAGATATGCAACGCAATCAGACTGTAAACTGAGAACAGACTTCTCAAGGTAGAGTGAACCAAGTCAGTATTGGTCACCAAATCTGGGAGGAGAATAACGCACTGGAGAGGAGTACTTGTAGCCAAGGTGTTTATTGCTCAACTGCTAGGCCCGGAACGAATGGAATATCATTATGCAAATAACTAAACTAAACGTCATAGCCTCAAATCATTACACTTACTTTATTGTTTTGCCCTGATGCAGTTTTTGATTGTTTTCTTGCTATGCCAGTGTAATGTAGAACTCTTTCATACAATGCTGAGGCCTCCACTCGCTTTTTAACAAAGGAGTACGACTGAGCAACATAAAAACATCTGTAACAGAGAAACACGAATCGATGAAAAGTTGAGACTGATAAAGTTATGGCTGCTAAGTAATATTATTTAACAAAGAAAAAAAATTAGTTATTCTTTGTTAGCATTTTACTAGGAATGTAATCTTGTTTCTCATTTACAAGTTTTTTTGTTTTCAACTTACCTAAACGCTTTATTAACTAAAATTTCATAATCAATCTCTTCTTTTAACTTATCGTCATCTTCTAAACCGGGAAGTTGAGAAATATCCGTCAAATTCTGAAAATAAAACCAAATACAGTTAGGATTAAAAGACAAACTGCATTGCTTTGCCAGTATTCTAATGATACCAACCTTAGTGGTATAAATACAAAATCAAAATAATTATTGTTCAAACAAATTTATTTCACATCATCAAAGAAATAGTCCAGACATGCACAAAAATACAGCACTCAATTTTAAACACAGCTGATTATTCTTACCGATAATTATAACAAACTTAAAATTCAATCAAAATTGACATTTAGGGTTCACATGCACATCTATTACAGAAAATACAGTATCCTCGGGGCAGACATCCAGACATTTTCTACTACCTGGCCACCCTCGCAGTGAAAACAAAGACCCAAAACCCGCAGAAAATGGTACTTTGCGATGGTTGTTGAGAGTCCCCTGAACAGTGTAACAAGATTAGCCCTACGTGTGTAACATATATGAATTTGGTTGTTCAGGATTACTTCAAAGTTGAGTTTGTGTTGTTTTCTCGAGTTTTCACCGGCTCCATCGGCGTTCCACAGCAGCGCGCACAAAGCCCATAGAAATACGTGGTACAGTGGTGCGCGTCTTAGCAACGTAGAACGTCTGTGACGTAGCTCCGCCCCCAAGGATACAAGTAATTATGTTCCAACTACCTAGTCATAGTAAACCTATCCTTACGACCAAACACCACATGAACAAACTAATATGCAAATACATACACACATACATACATGTCTGCAAATAAATAAAATGTATCTATATAAGCAAAATCAGTGTTATCCACAGCTTTTTTTCTTCAGATAATTTGATAATTTTCAATTTAGTTTTTGACTCAAATAGATGACATTATCTAAACGTCTGGCAAGTTTGCATCTTTCATAGTTTGTAATTTGTTAAAATTATACCAAATGAGGTATCTTGGTGATACGACACACAACTTGGCACATATTTGAGATAATAGCCCTCAGTTTGGGCTCAGAATTACTTATACAGTATTTGTTTCATCAGAAGCACATATAAACCAAAACTGCAGGTATCATAGAACCATAGAATCGCACCTGCAATATCCATTAGTGCATACCGCAAATATGCCAAAGATGCACCTTTAAAATACACTAACAAGTGAGGAGGTAATTTTACGCCTCACTGAAACTGCTGTACACATACCTGAATTATAATATCATATAATCGTATCATATCCTGCGGTTTGGTCATCTTCTTTCCTTCCTGTACTTCGCCACCAGGTAAATTATCTTTCATGGTTTCTACCATTAGCTTATTGCGATCTATCGTCTTACTTATTTTAATGTATGTCACATAACTATGAAGATACTCTAAATTAGATATCCTGCCGTCTGCTTTCTGAGTTTTCTGTTTCTAATGGAAAAAAAATAATTTTGCATGATTACATAGGTTCCAATTCTCATTTCTTCACAATATGTCAACAGATCTTTTAAGCCACAATGCGGCTTTGGTCAATTCGTACTAGTTGTCTATCGATTGGTATAGTACTCCTATATTGAATAACTGCAGGAATGAACTGGAATGTTTCCATTACCTTACAAGGACATGTACAAGAAAACAATATACTTACTGGATCCGCTTTGATTTCATCTCGTAATTCTTGTATCACATCACGACACTCGAGTAATAGCGTATCATAAACCGATATTTTGGTTTCCGAGTCTGTCGCCTTGTTGATTTCATCCTCACTTTGTTGCACGTTCAGTAAAAATACTCTGATTTGCTCCTGTTTGACACCAACAGTGCGCCCTCTCCAGGTGACCTCACTCAGAGTTGCTGATTGCTTCTCACGGGTTTGTTGAATTAGCATCTGAAAACATAAAAATTTTTTGAAAAGTCAGAATATGGGTTGTAAACAAGTATAGATATTTTTTACAAGGTGACAAATTTGTGTAAAAAAAACAGAATCAAGAATCTCACTTACATCAAGATTGGAAGAGAGTTCACCAGCCGGTCCCGATTTCAATCTCATCTGCACTAAGTCATCAATGGCAGTTTCATCACCAATATTATACGCACAATATCGTATATTTGGCGCTATCTCTTCCACTCGCTGTTTATAAAGAATTTGTTGCTCATCATCCAATGCTCCTCCAAGTTTCTCGTAGATGGTTCTAACATAAAAACACAGTTATGTGTTAATTATTTGGAGATTTTTGCTAAACAACTTGTGTAAGCGATACTAGTATTTGATTTATTAGTGCATGTATTTACATAAATGACAAAGGTACTTCCTGGGTCAAAATAATTTTAAAGATTCAACATAAAATATATGCCATTTTTTGTTTATGTGCACTTCTCTCATAGTGAGAAATGATTGAAATAAAATGATGAAAACCACTTTATATCACAAGTAAGCCATCACAATTGTCAATTGGTAAAAGTACATGAGATACTGTCAGATGTGCAAAGCTACTTTTGAAGTTTATAGTAAAAGGCTCCACATGTCAGGGCTGTACTTACTTTGCTTTACTGAATAATTCAATAGCACTCTGCCATTCACTCAACTCAAAATGTAATGTTGCTTTCATCCATGCAGAATAAGCCTGTAAACAATAATTGGAATCTGTCATTCACACTCAATATCTTTCAAGTATTCACAGGGCGGTGCTACGTTACAGAACATCCTATCTTGCATTGCTTGTACATGCACCACAGTGTACAATGTATTTCTATGGGCTATACTTAAGCTGCTTTGTAACACCGGTCGAGGAATCAGTTAAAACAGCTGAAGTCAGGAAAATGGCGCAGCTCAATTGTGAGGTAATCCTGAACAACCAAATAGAGTAGAATTGTTGCACTGTTCAGGAGAGTCCCAACAATTAGCTCAAAATAATATTAAACCTGAGGGTTTTCAGCTCTTGTTTTCACCGAGGATGGTTGCCAGGTGGTGAAAATGTCCACATATCAGCCCTTAAGAATAAAATAATCCCTAATTGCTATCGCTTGACACAGACAATATGCTATCTCAACTTACGCCAATCTCACTCAGTGACATATGTGTGGTTCTGGGGGTGGGTTATTTGAGCATCTACAATTTTCATACACACAAGAGACAAACAGGTTTCACAATTTAATTATAATATGCAGTACCGTACCCCCCCCCCCCCCCGAGTATAAGCCCACCCCTGTGTATTTAGACATTTAACAAGTTGAGGGCAGGGTGTTTTTACCGGGGCGTCGGCGAAATTTATTAAAATATGCATGTAAAATGTGCATTTCAATGCATAAAAATCATGACTGGTACGGTAGTTTGGTTCCAACTTATACAAGAAAACTCACATTAATTTCAGAGCAAACGTACGTAACATAGTTCGCACCTTTTCTATTCTGTTATTTACTCGGAATGAACCCCGATGTTGCAATACTGAAATAATCTAATTTCTTTTGAATAGTAGTTTTCCAAACGGCAAAAATGTGATCGTCGAGTCGTGAAACCTGGTCATTGAACATAGTTTTACTTTTCCGAATAATCGTATCCATTGAGTCTATTGTGAATGGGGTGTGAACGAGTAAACTATTCTTCGATTAGACATGTTGGCGGCCGTGAAAGGTTTAAGGTTTAAATACTTCCCCCACCCTCAGTTTACCTTTGAAAAATTGTGAATCAACAGCTTTTAGGCAAAAAAAATTGTTTTTTGTCAAAATTAGTGTTAACAGATCGCATTTTAACATCATGGTAATACACTTCCGCATTGTGTTTAAAAAATTACTTTGTGAATAATCAGGAAACTGTGTCTGTACGACAAGCATTTTCATTGGTTAACGAAAGACGTGACCTGTTAGGTCAAAGGAAGTTGTTCAGGTCAAATCAGCATGGCAGAAATAGCTTTGTATCGAGAGTTTGCATACGATCAAAAACATTCCACAACAAAGTAATGATAAAGATCTTGCTTTCGACCATTTTCCCACAGAACCTATCCATTTTTGCACCGTAAATTCAGATGGTATTTAAACCGTATTGTAACAAGTCATTGTCAATGACACGTCCCTGTTCCGTTCATATTTGAGTGACATATACATTCAAAGCAGATCATGACCGAAATCTAAGACCACTTTCAGTGTTCTGATCCGAAATGCACCTGCATATGTACAACACATTGTACTAAATCTGAACAAAATCCATCCATGCATGACTGAGATCTGGAATTGTTAAAATACGTGATTTTGATGCATTTTCGGCCTTAAAATGGCCATCATTCAGTTATTGTTAAGCGAATCATAAAACAAATGCACATATCTATTTGTGACATGATGTACCATGTGTGCGTGAAGTTTGAACTTGATCAATCCAGACATGTCTTGGATACAGATCCAGAACTGATTCTTTAAAACAAAATGGCCGCCAGTCGGCCATTTCGAACTTGATCCGGAAAAAAAATTACGTGCATCAAGGTCCTATTATGTTTAATGTATGTACCAAATTTGAACAAAATCCGTCCATGCATAACTGAGATCCGGGTCCGGAATGGTGAAAATGTGCTATTTCAATGCATTTTCGGCCTTAAAGCGACCGCCATTTGGCTATCGTTAATGAGATCATGAAACAAATGCACACACATATTTGTGACATGATGTACCTTGTGTGTGTGTGAAGTTTGAACTTGATCAATCCAGACATGTCTTGGATACGGATCCAGAACTGAATTCTTTAAAACAAAATGGCCGCCAGTCGGCCATTTCGAACTTGATCTGGGGAAAAAAATTATGTGCATCAAGGTCCTATTATGTTTAATGTATGTACCAAATTTGAACAAAATCCGTCTATGCATAACTGAGATCCGGGTCCGGAATGGTGAAAATGTGCGATTTTGATGCATTTTCGGC